AGCTGGAAGTGTTTTTATCATATCATCATGGTTTGTATTAGCATGTAACTCTAGACTGGAAATCATCTCCCCTCCTTAAAAACATTGCTCCTTTGATTTCTAATCTCCAGCGTTGTTGTTGAGAAACCTAAAGCCATTCTGATACATGACCCGTTGTAGCTGACCTTTTTTCACTCCTTTCTTGGTGCTATTTGGAACTTTCTGTCCATCCAGTGTTCCAAGATTTCATCATGTGCCCTGGGATGTCTTCATTTTGATGTATTTCCCTGAGCACTGGACAGGCTTCTTCGATCTAGAAGCTTATGTCCTTCGATTTGGGAAAATTTTAATGATCTGTTTGTTGATAATTTCATACCCCATTTTCCATACTCTCGCTTTCTACAGCTCTTATTAGTCAGGTGTTTAAGTGGCTCTTGGGCCGATCATCTGGGTTTTCTTATATTTTTATATATTTTATATTTCTGCTCCTTTGCTTCATTTCCTAGGCTACTTACTCAACTTTCTAAAAGCTTATTGTTGCACTCTATTGCTCTTTTTTTTTTAAAGCATTCTTTGCTTCATGGATCTTTCATTTTTACAAGGATATTAAAATACACATACATACAATATATATGTTTTTTAAAACTCTCTGTGTAGTCTTTTTCTTCCAATTCACTTTCCTCCTGTCCACTCATTTAACCTCTGCGTTTTTTGTCCGGTGATGCCGGACTGCCTGCTTGGGTTTAAGAAAGGAGAACTCATTAAAAGCTGATTGGCAGCTATGTGTGCCTCAACTGGGGACTCATCATCTGGCGTGGCCATTCATTGCAGAATTCCTTTGTCAGTATCTTTAGGCCTTTTCTTTTGAGTTGGTCAGCTCTCCAGAGAAAAATCTTCTCATTTCCTGCCTGGAGGAAACAAGGCATTTCGAGAGCTGAGCAGAGAGAGCGTTGAGGGCCCGACAGGCCGTAGGCGCGGTGGGCGGAGCAATGGCGCCCTAGGGAGACGCCGGTACCCTGAGGCCGGACCTGGGCATCTGTACCCTCACGTGGCAAAATAAACCTTGCACGTGTGGTTATTCAGTTAAGGATCTTCGGATGCGGAGAGTATCCTGGATTATTCAAGGGGGCACAACGCAGTCATAAAGGAGGAGGCAGGCATGTCCGCGTCGGAGGAGGAGCCCCGACGGCCGAGGCCGGAACGGCGCAGGGCCAGGAGCCAAGGAAGGCGGAGGGCAGGCTGCGGAGGCTGCGAAGGGCAGGGAAATGCCGCCCAGCGCCCGGCGCGGACTCAGCCTGCCAGCCCATTTAAAGGCCTGCCTCCAGACCTGTAAGGCAGTCCATTTGTGTTGTTTTCAACCACTAAGCTTGTGGTAATTTGTTACAGCAGCCGTAAGAAACGTAGCGCGTAAGCTTTCACCCACTCCTCCTCTTTTCATCGTAGGTCTCCCACTCTAAACGGCGCCTGACGTTTGATCTTTTCTAGGGAATAACCCTGCAGTCCTCTGATAGGGCGTGTGCGTTTGGGCGGGGGGGGGGGGGGGGGGGGGGCGGTGCGGGTCCTTTGCTGACGAATACGTGGAACTTCCTATTTTCAGCCAGACTTCACCTTTGCTTCCAGAAGTACTTAGTGACGCCAATTCCTGGACTTGCAGGGGTTCTGTGGAGGGTAAACCAGGTTGCTTTGGAGCACCCGCACTGCTAGCTAAGGCCCAGCTGCCCTGTTGTAAGCGTTACCAGTCATCCTTCTACTTTGCAGCTTCCAAAATTTTGTTGCTGTTATTTCTCTTTGGTTCAGCTTGTCTTTGTGGTGGCTTCTCTAACCCCCGCTGCTGAAAAACCAACCCAACCCAAACCTTTATTATTATTCCATTGTGATTTCTGATTCAGGAGGGAGCAGTAGAAGCACCTGTGTATGGCCAAACTTGCAAAACGAACAGTGCCATCATTTTATACTGCTTTTCCTTGAGCATGGAGCTGGATTGTAGATATTACACATTTAGAACATGACATTTTACAGGTAAAGTTTTATATGACAGGTGTCAGTATGACAGGTGGAAGTTAAGGTCAATAACTTTGGAGGCGGGAGCCTGGGTTTAATGAAAGGCTTTGCCATGGACTAGTGGCATGACTTTGAGAAAGTCCCTTAGCACCTTGGTTTCCTCACCTGTAAGGAAGTGTCTGTAAATGTGGTAGAAGCCATATTTAACCCACAAAGTGATTAAATTAGACAGGGTAATGGATGAAAGCCCTTGGGCCACGGCATACTTCCACTGTGGAACAGAATTACAGGTGAACTGAGATGGAATTGTGTCGACAGTACATTGTGTCCTTTCCTGTATATCACAGGTACTTAAATATATTCGTGGGGCAAATGAACATCATCTCTGAATGAAGTATTTCAAAAAAGCAACAATGAATATTGGGATTCAGTAAATGCTCCATGAACCTTAAAAATGGCAAAAATCTAAACTAATCTTTAAGTTTTTTTAGTTTCTCTGCCGCTTTCCTTCATCTTCATTCCTTTTAACAGAATACTGTATTTTAAAAGTGTAATTATTCCATTTACCTCAAAAAATCTAGGTGCAAGACAAAGAAAGAAATAAAGAGCAACCTAATCAGCTTTCTTCTAGAATTCAGACTAGCTTCTTAATTCTTTCCTTTCTCTGTCCCTACCCCTGCTAATCCCCTTTCCACACAGCAGGCAGAGTGATCTTAAAAACAAAGTGCACCTCCGAGTGAATTGCTCCATGGCTTAAAATCTCTTACTGGTTTCCCATTTTTCTTGGAATAAAAGCAAAACTCCTGGCTCAAGCTATATGGCTCCCCAAAGCTCCAACCTTGTCGTCTTCGGCCTCATCTTGTACCACTGTCCTGTCTTACTTTACAAAGTGTCATGTGCATAGTTACCCCTCAGTACACATTTGTCAAATAAATGATTAGTCAATAAATATAAAGAATAAAGCATACATTTTTAAAAATATGATTTCAAGGGCTTTGCTTTTATTTTCAAATTTTCTTACTGAGTCAGGTGTGAAAACTGGTGTGGACCCAATGGCTTAATAAATGCTTACTTTGGCTTTGTCTTTGGAGCCTAGAGAATTGCTTGCAATGGGGGGAGAAAAGCCTAGATGGAAGCTGAGGTTAGGAGATTATCTGCTTGCTCATTAAGATGTTGGACAGTGTCAGGGAGAGAAGGTGGCTACACTGAGGCTAGTATACCCTCAGTCAGACAACGTGTACCTAAGTCCTAACAGAGGATGGCACACACAAAAAGATGTTCAATACATATTCGTTGAATCAGTGAATAAAAGTGGCCTTCCTACTTTACCATATACCTTCCAAGCTGCGAGTAACCCTTACGTGATTTCCTCCCTCTGCTGCCATTACAGGTCACTTTTGCCCATGTTGAGCTGAATGTTTTGATAGAGGCCAAATCATGCTATTTTAAGAAAAACTATCCTAAGTCCAGTTCACAAGAAGCCCATTCATTATTCTAATCCTGAAGTGTTCCCCTGCATATTCACAAAGACTATTTCCTTTGAAAGTCACTACTGAGCTTTTTTCTTTAATCTAACATAATTGCTGGGAAAGGAACTTGTTTGAGAAAGACCAAGAATTGAGCTCTAGTTTCACGTGGATGGGATTGCCGACATATTGTTGAGCAGTTTGTGCCGGGACTCACTTGACTCCAAGGGCAGACATGGCATAAGAACTTACCTAAGAAGTGAACAGTTTCTGTCATTGGAGTGAAAGAAGATGTCCAGCTCCACGTGACCCCAGGAGCTTGGCGGAGTGTATGACACTCTTATGGGCAGCATTGTGGACACTGGAAAATCCCTTTCTGGTGTCTAAAAGATGTAATTGTCTGGTAGTTCCTTGAAATCCCTCAGCCAGAGATTTATTTACTCGGCCCAGGGATGGCAAATCCCCTCAGCTTGTGTGACAGGACGAAATATTGGTAATGGCCTCTGGAAACCTGTAACGAGCAAAGTTCAGAGTCATATTTGGGCTCATCGGGAGAGTCTTGTCATAAGTTAGCAATGTCAGCTATGAGTTTGGAAATGAGGATTCGTTGGTATGCCACATATTTAATATCCTTTTTAAATGCATTTTTGTTCGTTATGTTAAAATCTAAGTAATTTGATTTAAAAATCCATTTAATCTTCACATAAACTCTGTGAGGTAAGTACTGTTACAACCTTTTTTTTTTTTTTTTTAGATGAGGAAACTAAGGTGCAGGTATATTGCTTCCTAAAATATAAAACCAATTAGTGGTGAAACTTGTATTTCAACATGTGCCTACCTAAGTCCAGAGCCCAAACTCTTAAGAACCATATAATTTTCAGTAAGAATTCTGGAGTGCTGAATTTAAAGCTGTTATCACTCATTTATACCCTAAAGTGAGTAAGTTTCTCTCCATTGTCTTACCTAAGATAGGAAAATATAAAAGATTACTAAGATTGGAAGGGCTGAAGACAAATTTTAGCAACTTTATAAGACTAGGACTGATTCTTGTCTAAATATTGAGAACATGACTTAGCATATGACTACTCTAGTCAAGGAAATAGGAATTATTTCTAGATCATTTTTAAGGATGGGATGCAGTACATCTATACCTTGAGATCCGACCCAAGCAGGAGTATTATTATCAAATGAGCTTTTTCACCCCTTGAAACTTTTTATTCTAAAATAAAGATGTTAACCACTATGTCCTTGTGAGATTCTAAAGGCAGGTAAATTATATTTTGTTTTCCTTAAACACTTAACACATGTTCTTTTAATAAGATGATCTTTCTATTTATGGAAATACATTACTATCACTTTCCCCAAGTATTTATTTCTGTAATTAATTATTAAAATTATTTGTACATATTCGGTTTATAGTATTAATCTAAAACAGTTTAGATTTTACTCAAAGGCTGACAAAATACAAACAAAAAAACCCTTCAGATACTTTTAGTTGGTATTAGAAATGTCAGAATATGGTTTCATTTCTTGCCTGCTCTTTTTCCTTTACAGGAAAATCTGTCATTGCTCAACCTGTATTTGTTTTTGAAAAGAGAGAACAAACTTTTAAGGTAAGACCACGCTATTTCTCTTTGATTTTTCTTGGACACAGAAAGTTGTATTTCAAGAAGCTAGCTATACTGAATGACATTTCTGCTGATTCAGCTTACTCTCCTATTCTTCACTGAGCAGAGTAGTGCCTCTGGAATATTTACATAGTAGAGATTTACTGATAGCAGTTTGCCTGAAATGAGAAACCAGTGGTCTTGTCTTGAAGCGATGCCATTTTTATTAAATTATACATTTTTGGGGGAGACTAGGGAAAGGGAGGGACTGGAAGAGATGAGAAGGGCCAACGCTCCTCTTGGGTCTCCACCACCAACCCTGCCTAGAACGGGTTGTTAAGTTGTGAACTGTGATATTTGATTTAAAAAGGGATCTTAAGAACCCTATGTGTTGTTTTCAGCACCATACTAAAATCACCTGCTTGGAAAGACGCACGAGAAGATGTGTAGCATTCTCCCTTTTATCTTAATATTTCCTTGTTATTCGTTCTGCTTATGCAGGTAATGTCGGTCACTACCCACAAAACTAACTAAAGAAAGCTTAACCCCCAAGCCCTTGTTAAAAAATCAGATTTGTGGGCCCCACCCCAGGTCGACCGCTTCAGAGTCCCCAGAGCTGGTGTTTCAGAGGCTCCCACAAGGGATCCTGCCGTCCCTGAGACCGAAAACTGCTTGGCCAGGCTTGGCTTTTCCTTACATACATGCCTAGTGAGTAAAGGTGAGCAGTTTGGCCCCGGCCTGGCTTTTGAGAATTCTCTTACAAAGTGACAGGGCAGAAGTCTGATGTACAGCAGCGAACAGGTCTCACCGGCAGCTCCGTTTCCTTCCAGAGACCTGCAGAAGAAGCCCTGTGCGAAGCAGCGGAACATGGTAACCGTTTAGCTCTTGTATTTCAAAATCAATCTTATACAAAGAAAATAAGCGGGCACAAGTATTTGGGCGTGTGACACAGACTAGGTAAAACTTAATGCTTTTCTTGGGTTGAAACATGAAAGGGTATCACACATGATAGGGTATACAGATGCTCGACCATAAAATTGCATACTGAAAATTTATGTAATGTTATTAACCGGTATTATCCTGACAAATTTAATTAAGAAATTGCAACAGGAAAGTGTAGCTTAAACTGCATTAAAACTCAGAATGAAAAAAGATTTTATTAAAACATGAGGAATAAATTCTTCAAAGCAAAGAAAGCCTGAGGAACTCGTCCAGTTAAAGGAGACTAAAGACTTGTGATAGTCAAATCCTACACATGATTCTGGGCTGGATCCTGGGCTGGGGAGAAAAATGTTACAAAGGCCATTATTAGTTAATGGATAGAATTGTGGTTGATGGGTTAGATAAGAGTATTGAATATATGTTAAATTTCTTAGAGTTGATCATCATGCTGGGCTAATATAAGAGACGTTCTTATTCTTAGAAACTACACATTGCAACATTTAGGTAGAAGGGGCATAATACACAGAACTTAATCTGAGGTGATGCAGAAAAATTTGTGTATAGATAAAGATAAATCGAATATGACAAATGTTAATAATTAGTGAATCTAGTTAAAGGGCATATGAAAATTCTTTGCACTATTTTTCCAACGTTTTTGTAAATTTGAATAATTTTCCAAATTAAAATAAAATTAAAAACAAACAAACATGAAACTAGCCTGGCCTTTGATTTGAAAAATGACATGAGGGCCCCAGAAAACAGTGACGTTAACTCTAAAATCCCATGGTTCTCTGCTGCCTTTGTCTCAACATACTAAAAACATCCTCTCAGTTTCAGAATTCATATACAACTTCTTGAAACCACTTGTTTATGATGGTTTCATAATCAGACTACTGACTCTGATATTTAAAATTTAGCTTCAGAAGTTAACATGTCATCGAATAATAATTTGTATAGACAAAAGGAAATTCTACCCCAACCCCAACATCATTGGTTAAGGATAATTTGTTATTGCAAGCAATTTTACTCTTCGCATTGAATTTCTTGCAGAATGTTATGGTTTTTCAGGAAAGCGCATTCGGTCTTCATCTTTTTCTTTGCACACTACAGATTCTCAGTCTCAAGGAGGTAGGTACAGCGTTGACTGTTGAGTGTTCACTGTTCTGTTTACTCTGATTGTAAAATTTCTAAGAAACTTTTCAAATGGATAATTTTTAGAAGTCTACCCACTATGTAGTGTTTATAATATATGGTTATATGAAAGCAGCAGACTGTAAAATGGATTGTACACTAAGCACATTCAACTGATCAACCTTGAAGAGACCGAAAAGACTGAAGCCACTACATTAGCAATGGTAATTTTAGGTAAAGGGATTACAAGTGATTTGGTTTTGTTTTTCCCTCTCTTTGTATTTTGCTGTTTCCAAAGTTTCTGCATTCCGTACACATTAGCTTTGTACAGAAAGTGGCCATTTTCTCCTAAGTAAGTGTCTACTTAAATAGATGTCTGCCTTTAGAAAAGACACTTTATCCTAAGAACTTCATCATAGAGTCCTGCATGCTTAGCAAATGAGTGGCTTCGTTTTGCTGTCTCCTACACGAAAAGCGCTCGGTGATTATTTTGTAGTTGATTGCATCACCGTCTGCTCTGTGATACAGCTTCTCATGCAGATGCCTGACTCTTGCACTGTAAGTTCCTTGAGGTCACCTTCATTCCTGACAGAGTGTCTTAAACACAGCAAGCACTCAAATACTTACTGAATTGGAGGGAAATTCATGTGTAACCCCTACCAGAGGCGCACTTTATTTTTATTGATAAAAATACAAACATTTTTCTAAATTAGGGATATAGAAAATTTTCTGAAACAGCAAAATTCCAAATAAAAAGAAACACAAAAACACACTTCCTACCTGACACTGCAAGCAGTTTGCAATCTGCTTTTAGTGTCCACCTTTGTCCCAGAGGTGAACGAGATTGACCTCCCAACCTTCCCCCACCCCCCAGCCTCCACCCTCAACCCTGTTCTGGGCCAGGGAACAAAGAACTTCTAGAAACTTCAATCAAGCCTGACACTCTGACTTTTCAAAATCCGTTCTCATTAATGATGATCTTTCTTTCTCAGGTACTATAAAATGCTGACATTTTAGTGACAAATAAACTAGAGGTCTTAGCAAAGTATGTATGGAAGAATACCTTAAAAACACCACAAACCCTGTATCTGTTTATTTGTGTTAGAAAGTTTGAACTTGATGATTTTTTTAGGGTTTCATGTTTATAATAGGAATATATTGTATAAGGCAGCCCTATAAAATAACTTGCTTTCTTTTCCTTATTATCATCTATGTATATGGTTTATAATATACAAGTATATAGTGTTCAAAATATACAACTATGCTTTAGATTTTTATTCTAAAGTTTATGTACTTTTCATTAATTAAAACTTATTTTTATTTGAAATTTATAATGCTTTGCTAAGTAAAACTATTTTATTATAATAAAATATTTGAAATGGCCAGAACAATTTCTACATTAAAGTTATGATTTACATCTTTGTGTGCTTTTGTTTCTACTGAACAACTAACTGCCCTTTTCAAAGCTTGCCACTAGAAATTAAAAAAATGTAGACCATTCACTTCCTTTTAACTGATCCCATCTACCTGGGAACCACCGAATATTCAAGTTAGTGAATTTATATTTTTATGAATCATTCCAAACATGACTGAGGGACAATATGTTAGATACCTTTCAGATACAGAAGAGATAGTTTCTAACTCAATAGACCTCCTCTAAGCCTTACTGACACATGACAGACATTAGGATCCCTATTCAGGTCCTAATCCTAAAGGATTTGTTTATTGTTTTTGTGCATAAAGCAAAGGGATGGCTTCAGGTTACCTAGATAACTGTTTTAATCTTTTTATTTTAATCAGACAAAAAAAATCAGACACACAAAAAGGAAAGAAAGAATAAAGAAACATTCATGCCAGTAAGCACCGTGCTGTTGTATGTAGTACAGAATGTCGATGGTGTTGAAACAGAGAAAAACTATATAACTTTATATGGTTGATTCATTGTTGGTTTTCAGTAATAAAGATTATAAACACCATGTCATTGAATTTTAAATTAGAGAAGCAATTCTACCCCAAAATTTAGAATAGATTATAATATTTTAAAGAAACATTTTTATTCTTTTCTCATCTCCATTACTCAAATGATCAAAGGTCTCTCCTTTTGCAATTTGCAACCAAGAGGTGATCTCTTTGAAATGTATACTAAATCCTGTGCTTATAGCTACCCCCGCAGCCTTACCCCACAAGCACACTGCATAGAACAATGACGCATCATGATGGTTTACTCTGGTCTTCAGGTACTATGAGAGTCGGGGGTCGGGGGGGAAGAATTTGCTTGCAATTTTTTAACATTCTATAAGAAATATATATTAATGCACAAGAGGGTTCCTTATCAATTTAGATTCTATAATCTGCAGAACTTGTCTCAGTACCCTATTTCATGATTCTAAATACGGCCTATTCTGTGAGTGACCTAATTTTCACTTACACTTATGAGAGTAAACAGAACTATGTAGCAAACCTCACCTTGCTGTCCTGCATTTCTAGCAGAATGAGCAGTTTCCTAAGCACTGCCTGCTACTCTATTAGTACCAATGGTGACCTCTACTGTTCAGTACGGGACTGTTAAAACCCCAATCACGCAGAAATGGACCTACTCTCATTCATTTGAATTGTTCTAAATATTTTTTTCTTACAGTGAAGAAAAACAACATTTTTATGACACCGACTCTTGTGCAAAGGAATCTTGACATGAACAGTGCAGAGCAAGGCATGTGGTTTCTCTATTACAAAATCCTAATCTGCATATGAGTAGTTGTGTGTTGGGAATCGAGGTGGGGCTGAGTGACAAAACATGACAGAATAGTTTTGATGAGCCAAGTCCCATGGTCAAAAATAAGTAGTTACTGGGTAAAATCTGGGTTGGAAGTAAGTAGCAGGCAATTCACTGGCTTTTGACTTTGATTACTTAGCATTAACCCCTCATTTAATGCTGACTTTAGAAAATAATCGTTAAATTAGTGAAAAATAAGGAGGAAGAAATATTTCACTAAAGATATATTGACCCTTTAATTCTCTTCTGTTAAGGTCCTGTGAAATATTCTGAACATGTTCTACGACCTGCTATTTTGCAGCCACCTCAAGCTCAAAGGTGTGAAAAAGTAAGACACAATGCATTGGAACACTGCAAGACTACAGGAAAAACGAAACATAAGGTAAAAAACAAACAAACAAAACAAACCCTTGATTGGTAGGACTGACCTCAGTCCCATATCCTTATTTTAGGAGGCGCTTGTGGGCTCCACAGCTGGTAGGAGGGGCTGTCTGAGCTTTGTGCTCTTTCAGAGTCAGCTGCTGAGCTGGGGCCACACCTGGATTAGATAGAAAAAGCCCCCAGTAACCTTGTTCAACGCGCCTTCTTAAGTTGGAGAGTTACTCTCAGGAACAAGTCTTTTGGTTTCTCCGAAGTTGCAAAACCGAGCCCTGTAAGGTAGGAACCCTTGTGGTCTTGTTCCCGGACACGGATCCCATGTGAGAAAAGGAGAGCCAGGAGGTGGCAGGCATCGGGATTCAGAAGTCAGAACCAGGGCAGAGGTGTTCGGCATCCCCAACTGCTTCACTGGTTTAGGTCATAACAGCGATGCACTCCAGACCCATCTTCGTGGGTAGCAGGAGCAGGGAACGGCCTTCACAGTATAATTGGGAGGGCTCGGGAAGCCACCGGAGACAGGTAAGAATTCTCTTTCTGGCTGTTGCAGGTAGCTGGACCACGCTTCCTGGGCCTTTCTAAGGCGACATTCATTTTGCCCAGGCCCTGCAGTTATGGGCTTGGACTATTGTGTTGCTATAGCTCTAGCAGTGTCCTCCAGAGGCAGACACTTCAGAGGAACGAGACACAAGATCAGTTAGTTGGAATTTGAGAGCTAATTCCAGCAGTCTTTTATTTCCAGTTAAACTGTGGAGTGGTGGTCACCTAGTTTTGTTTTGTTTTGTTTTTCCACGCTGAACATAAGGACAGCAACACATGGAGTGTTAAAAATACCAGTGATTTCATCAATTCAATGGAAAAAAAAAATCAGATTGGTAGTAATCCTACCTCTGCTACTATCTATGTTTGCATTCTCGGAAAAAAGCACCCAACCTTCTCTTTCTATTAGTGAAGTAAGGGAGTTGAACTTAGCATTTGCCAACATTTTATATTTCTAAATCTTTTTGGGGGTAAGATATGATTTCATGAGACCCATTGTGAATTTAAAAAATAATGTAAGCATTTACGCATGGTTTATGATATATTTTTAAGTAAAATATTTAAAATCAGTATCGTATTAAAAGTTTTCATTTCTAATAATCATGGCCACATTACTTAAATTCCTTTATCTATTTAAGAAGTGATGCATATTGTTTAATTTTTTAAGCTTATAAGAAAAAATGTGTTGACTAATTTCTAAGATGTTATGTTGCATTTGATTTTGCAACAGCATTACCATAAATTGCAGATTAAAAATTTTATTATGTATTATGCTATCAAAAGTAGATCAATATCACTTCTTTGGCATGATGTTTTTGAAATCTTCATTGCATAATTAAATAATAAAATTTAATATATTTCTTGAAGTTTCTTCTTAAATGATTAAGCATAAGAGCAGTTTTTAGGTTATTGTTCATAAGCATTTATTCTTGAATAAATTATTAAGATTATGAATATAACATTCTTAATTAGTAAAAAGCCTAATTGGATATGCCCATTATTGAATTTTCTATTTAATGATGACCTTTGAAGATCTAAAGAAAAGATAAATGCTATGTAAGAATTCAGACAAAATAAATGTAATTTATAGATCTAGTGAAAATTACCTCTAGGTGAATTTTATAGAACCATTGTTTTTATGTCCTCATTAACTTGTATATCAAAATCAGATATACTTTTATTCATCCTGTTACTGATCAGTCATCACTTTTTGTGTATAATTTAAACTATATATGGCTAATAAAAACTATTTGAAGCAACCTAAGAGTAAAAGCTATGATTTTGGTTGAGAGATAAATCCTCTGAGTGATGGAGTCATGAGCATGTACTTTGATCTTTGCTAACTAACGACACATATTCTCTGATACATATTTCTCAGCTCTCAAATTCTGTAATAATGGGAGAAACATTCAGAATTATTTCTATTGATTGATATAAGATTAAAGTGAAAACAGACCCCATCTACCTTGAAAGACATGCATTCCTTAGAACATCTTCACAAATCTCTGTGAGGGTGGTATCCACAAAACATTGGAGACACTAGATGAGGTCATTTATAGGGTTCCTTCAAGTTCTAAAAGTGCTCTTTCCTTCATTTATACAATGATGCAGGTAATGTGCATATATATGAATATACTCATCAGAGTAACTAATTGATTAAGTAACCAGTCCAAAGTTTCTAGGTAAAGAGATGGAGTTTCCTCTTACATTGGATAGTGGTAATTATGAAGTCCTTAGGGTGCTTCCAGGAATTCAGTAGACCTGAAAGATAGATTTACTAGTCTGGAAATTAGAATTAACTCCATTTGACTAAAGGGTAAAAGGAACAAAAGGAGTGGGGTTTCTGAAATATTGCGATGAAGTGCAGAGTCTCTGGTGTCAGACAGACTCGGGCTCAAACGCCAGCCGCATTCCTGGCTGTCCGGGCTGAGAAAAGTTATTTGAATTTGTTTGGTTAGTTTACTCATCTGTAAAATGTGGATAATAATAGATGTACAAAGTGTATAGAGTTGTTGTGAGGAGGAAATTAGAAAATATACATATAATGTTTAGGGCAGTACTTGAACATAGTAAAATTTCAATACATTTAACTAGTTGCCTTGTGTGGCGCCCCCATAGTAAGCAGTTTAAGTGAACTTTTTGATGGATTTCTTTTCTTTCAGATTTCTGAGAGGAACTCCTGTTTGCCAAGCAAAAATTTGCTAAGTGCCAGAAAATCAGGCCAGCTGTCTACTAGCCAGATGTTTTGGGGTGCTCCATCAGTAGGGTACGTGCTGTTCTTTCATTCTTGCTTTCTTTTATCATTATAACTATTTATAGAAAGTAATTTTCTGACGTTGTAGAGATAAATTGCCAATATTTCTGTCTGAAAGGAGATTTTATAAAGAGCACCCATTTAAAGTGCTTTTCAAAATGTCTCTAATATTTCAATATTATCATATTAAATTGGATTTCTCCATTTTCTCATTGACTTGGGAGAAAATGTCTCAAATAGGTAGAGCTAAATTTTTATTTAGTCATTAATTATCTGGCTACTAGATTAGCCTTTCCTACTCTTTCTCTGGCATTTTTTCCTTTCCTTTTAATTAGTTTTTAGCCTTATTTATTGGCATAGCTTGGCTAGACAATAAAGAAAATAGTCTAAATATGCACAACGGAAGTTAATGTTTAATAGTATCGCCAGTGATGAAGGCATGTTTGATCTGAGAGGTTAGAAGTAGTGTGGCCGTACCAGGACCCACATGATCAGGGCCTGTGTGGGAACTGCAGCGCTCACCCACCGGGCACACTTGGGGGCACTGTGGGGGTGCTAAGGGGGCCCTGGAGCACATCTGCCTGGATGGAGAGGCTGCCTGTCTTTGAGTTTCTCATCATGCAAAACACTTTTGTCATTTTAAAAAAGCCCTGTTTCTGGGTGGAAAACAACTAATTAAACCAATGTGCACCCAAGTATCGCTGACAAAATACATTGGCTTTGCTTTCACACTGGAGACCTCCGGTCCATAAAAGCGGGGGCGATTTGGGGAAGAGGAGGGTGGAGATTAGAGACAGGAGAGTCTGTGCTGGAAGAGCTAAAGATAAGGGCTGGGCAGCTGCCCTGGCTGGTCACACAGTGCAGTGATGGGCACAGGATTCATCTGGACGGGTCTCAGCCTATGATTATAACAACTGTCAAATATTTTGAATGTTTCTCTGAAAGTCTGTATCTCAGTTTTTTCATTTATCATTAATTTCAGATAATCAAAAGTTAGCAGTAGATGTTTTTATATAAATCTATTTACATAAATCTATTAAACCACCTGATAATTTCACTTGTTAAGGGTTAAAATGGCTTTATCCATAAATTTAAATTAGCAAATGCTATTGTAAATAACACTGCAATGAACACAGCGGTGCATATGTTCTTTTGAATTAATATTTTGGATTTCTTTGGATATATAGTTATTTACAATAGCCAAGCTATAGAAGTAGCCCATCAATAGACAAGTGGGTAAAAAAGCTTATATACAACGGAACATCAGTAGGCCATATAAAAGAACACAATCTTACCTTTTGCAATGGCATAGATGGACCTAAAGGGTATCATGCTAAGTGAAATAAGACAAATACCATATGATTTCACTCATATGTGGAATCTAGGGAACAATATATATGAACAAACAAAACAGAAACAGACTCATAGATACAGAGAACTGACTAATGGTTGCCAGAGTAGAGGAAAGTTGAGGGACTGGGTGGAAAAGGTGAAGGGATTAAGAAGTACAAATTAGTAATTATGAAATAGTCAGGGGGTGTAAGGTACAGCATAGGAAATAGACTCAATAATATTGAAATAACTATATATGGTGCCAGGTGGGCACTGGAATTATCAGGGGGAACACTTTGTAAAGTATTTGATTGTCTGACCACTATGCTGTACACCTGAAACCAATACAAAATAATATTAAATGTAACTGAAATTGAACAAATTAAAAAATAAAAATGTAAAAACATAAATAAATCATTGATGAAAGGAAAAAAGCAATAGTTACAACGAAAAATAGTTAAATACACACAAAAGTAAATAAAACAGCAAATGCTTATTTCTTTTTCTTAGATATCAACCAAATGAAGATAAGTATTCTTTTAAAAGCTGCAGTTCTGATTTCGTTTTTGGAGAAAACATGGTAGAAAGAGTTTTGGTAAGATTTTGGCAAACGTTTCCATTATTATGTAGAGAGCTGTCGCTTCAAATTACTGAAGAGAAATTAATTAAAACAATGTTAAACTGGAGCATACTCTTTAACCCCTGGGTTCAAAGGCACGTTTTCTTTCTTTAAGTGAAAACATTCTCTTGGGAAGCTAGTTTTAGCTGTTAGAATGATAGACAGGAACCCACAGAGGAAGAAAATTGTATAATTATAACATTATTACTGGTGAGAAATATTATAGTTCTTGACTTGTGTTAAACCAAAGGTACCCAAGGAAATCCCAGCATTATCTGCAATAGTTAGATAAGCTCAGCGGATAATGACATTTTAATTAGTTTTTCAATAACCTCTTTTGTAACAAGACACATTTAAAATCTTTGCCATTTTTTTTCCCTCACTAACCACAACCCTCCCCTCCCAGCTCTTACACTGAAAAGCATTACTGTGACTTTCAGGGGCTGGCTTCAAGAGGACAATCACTTGCCTAAGGGAATAGAGTTGCCGAGTGGGGGCCCCTGAGCTGCCATAGCTGCCATCCTCATTTGGTGTGGAGCATCGTCCTGCACCAGGCCGTTGCCGCTCCGCCCTCGTTCGAGCGCGTCTCTGAAACAGCATCATCTATGCAGGGATTATGCAGCGAAGTGAACGCTAGGAAGCACATGCTCCTATGCTTCGATCTGGCCCATTACATCTTTACACCCTTCCCAGCTCTTACACAGACCAGAATCTTGGCTAAGATAGGCCAAGCTGGCTGGCTATCTTGCCTTATGGCTATCGGTTATGGGAAGGACCTCAAGGCGGCTGCAGAGATTTAAACACCCCTGAAGTGAAGGGCTCAGATTAACAAGAGGACCAACTCATGAGGCCAGTTTATTCCAAGGTTTTCAGGGCTTCCACAAATCAGTCACTTTTAAGACACCTACACCAGGCTAACCCCAGTTCCAAGCCTAGCATCAGAGCTATTTAATTTAGAGGCACCCTTCTGTCACTCCCAAAATAAAGTCAACACAGGCAATCCTAGAGCTGCTGACCCACACCTTTATGTCCGAACCAGAATGGATCAACTTCCAGAGAGAAGTTCCAGGCAGTATCTTTAGGCACAGTTACTCCATAACATTTATTCCTAAATTTGGCACTAGATTAGTCACAGCCTTTGTAAGACATCATAGCCAAAACTAAAATACTTTCCAAACATCCTAGGATCAGCCTTAACATTCAATTCAATTTAATAAATGTATTGTATTCTTATGACATACAGACATGGGTGTTAGTGTCAGATTTGGCTGCGCATCAGACATTTGGCGAGAGCCTGTAAAGTGTTCCTTATGCCTGACATCTCCCCAAACCAACTGGATCAGAATCTCTGTGGGTAAGGCCAGGTGTCAGGTGATTCTAATGTATAGCCAGGCTTGAAAACTACATGGGCAAGGGGTTATGCAAATGTAAAGGAGACTCAATGTGCTGTAGGTGCTTACAGTCTAGTAGAGAGAGAGATGGAGAAATACCTATACAAAGGAAGTAGTCAGGATCATAGGTTTATTTTGAGGAGTCACCTGTGCACTTTCCTATGGGCACTTTTCATTTGGTTCATAAAAGAGCCTGAGCTTCCTAGCTCTTTAAGTTGATAATGTCATCAAGATAGGAACAACAGAGATAACTTGTATTTGTTTTCTTATTAATCCTGCGATCCCGTGGCCTTGTGATTTGGGGGCCAGAATATCCTCCTGACTTGTTAACTAGCTGACCACAACCTTATAGAGTTAGTCATTAAGCTTTCCTGTGCCTTAGTTTCTATTTTCTGAAAGTGGAAATAATTGTTCCCGTCTCTACCAATTTTAATAGCATATCTTTACGTCCAGTTAAATAATGTGAAAACATCTTTATAAGGGAAAAGATGTAAACCTAAGTATCATTCCAATTTTCCCTGTTCTTCCGGGGGGTTCTACAGTATCATAAACGTCAGGGCAATTACTCAGTCTTTTTCACACGGGCCTTGATTACAATGCATGTGCACAGGCGGATGAGTGCAGCCTTAAATCGGTGGCTGGCAAAAACTGTCTTGGAGGAAAATTAAGAGTCCTTCACTGAAGATGATCTCTGAGACAACTCAGTGGATTCTCTGGATAATTTTATTATTATTATTTATTTAATACAATGGATAGAAACAGAAAATTGCTGGGAATACTGAAATACCTTGAAATAGATAATAGTTGCCCTTCCCTATAGGTATCAGGTTAGCCTGGTGGTAGCATGGAACAGCTGTCACCTTCTTTTGGACCTCTGAAACGTCTCACAATGTCCCTGCAACTAGCTCCCACCTGGAGTAGGCTGGTGGTAACTGGGTTAATCATGTTTCCTGAGGGTTAGCACCAAGGTCCTCTAGGGACAGTGAGGAATTTCTTGTTCAGCATGTAGGGATCCCAAACAAAAACACAGCAGTTGGATTGGTTTACCCCTCTGTTAAAACAAAAGAACAAAGATACCTTTTTTCTTACTGTGAATATATGAGGGTAAAATTAAGTAATACATCTTTTCCCCCCACATAGGGTACTCAAAAACTCACCCAGCCTCAACTTGAAAATGATCCCTATGCCAAGGAAAAATCATTCAAATCCACCATAAAATTTCCTACCAACTCTCCAAACTCAAGTAAGAATTATTTCATTTGTAAAACATTGGGTTCAATTAGTTTATTTCCCATTTTCCCGTGTTGTTTATTGAATATCTATAAAGTATAAAAGCAATAGTTCAGTATTTTAAAATTTGTTGGTAAAGATTAAGCATATAAATATGATTACATGATATAGAAGCTTTTTAAAAGTTTTGACTTAATGATATGGGGAATAATTAAAGAGATTTACCTAAACTCAAGAACTTTGGTTTTTTTGGAGGCACTTGTTATAAAAAGTGTAAGAGACATGTATTTAATAGGGGCAACACGGGACGTACACAGTAGAGAAAATGGGGCCTTTTATGTGTTTTTTCCCCCATTTTCTCTTAGGAACAGACTCTATTAAAAATGTAACCCTAATTGAATCAGCTGCTGCTCTCTCTTCTAAATCATCACCAACATGTTTGCTGAAGAAAATTGATGTAATAACAGGGGAGGAAGCAGAATATAATGTATTAAAGGTCTGTATATCCTGTATTGCTCTCCATGGTTGTACTTAATACATCGAATGAAGTTGCCATCAGCAGGAACATCTTTTAAAAAGGCAGAAATAGAGTTTTCAAGAAAACTGAGCTGCTAAATAAAAATCCTAAATACGTCCAAAAATTACACCAGTATTTTGTTGTATTCTTACATTTGTACGTGTACTTTGCAGGAAAGTGGGTTGTTGGGTTTACAACCATTCCCATCAGTCCCTTAGGAAGAAGGCAGCTCAGAACCCTTTCTCCATGTAACTTTGACCCATTTTATGCTTCTCAACCTGCATGTACAATCAGTGCTATTATCGTGTGATTTAAAAATTCAACTTTTACACTAAAGGTTTTAAAGTGCTGACAATGATGAATTGATTTTAGTTCAAGATAGTAAAAGAATTTTCTTTTCCTTTTGAAAGTTTCTAAGTGAGTTTTGATTTTCCTGTGAACCGAGAATTTCATACACGTGGCACACAGTATCACACAGGGTGCGAATGTTGAGTGGTCTAGGTGTCGGCCCAGGAATGTGACATGAGATGATCACAACTTAAGGATTTTTTTCCAACAAGGCACAGATTCCCCTTCATCTCTGCACATGCGCCCTTCCACCACAGCCTCTCCTTTCCTCTTCTCGTCCTCCGTGATCTACGAATACACTTTCTATACAAGCGTGTCTCAGGGCATGACCTCGGATCCGATGAGCCCTCGATTTAGCAAAGCAGTCGCTAGGGGTGGGGCCCTGGCCAGTCGCCTGGGTGATCCGTGTTCATAGTGATATTTGAAAACCACCGGCATTTTAAAGTATAGTAGCGGATCCTGGTAGCGTATCTTAGTTCTCAGGCTATATTCTTTAAAGTATTTTAAGCATATAAATGATTTCGTGATTCTTTACTTTCAAATAAATTACGTAGCTCAAATAACATTAAGTTTAATTTAAAAGCTGGTGTATGTGTATACAGGGTGGGGGCAAAAGTAGGTTTACAGTTGTTCATGTGGAAAATAATACAATAATTAAGAAGTAATAATACAGGAATTAACTGTTTTACATGCTAACTACTGTAAACCTACTTTTGCCACATCCGGTATTGTTAAGTGAAAAAGCAAGACACAGAATGTAGTATGATGTTCTACCATTTGCAGAAAACAAATGGGAACATATATGTGTATTGGTATATATACCATAAACATCTCTGGAAGGATAAACAAAATAGTAGCAATAGCAGTTGCCTGTTGCAGGGGTAGAAAGTCAGATGGGAAGCTAGGGTTGGGGACGTCTCCCTTTGTACATCTTCTTGCTTTTCGATATTTGAACTATTCAAAACTTGTATGGTCTTAAAAGTTATATAACTTTTAAAAGCTGCTGTATAAATCATTAACGGTTATTCTGGTAAGAGATTAAACACATAAAAGTATAGGAGAGAATTTGAAAAGACTATATACTTGACACTTTGAAATATCGCCCTTCAGATCAACTGCAAGCTTTTTGTACTCAACAAGACAACGGAGTCCTGGGCCGAGAGGGGCCGAGGGGCGCTGAGACTGAACGACACAGCCCGCGGTGCCTGCGGGGCCTTCCAGTCCAGACTAAGTAAGGGGTCATTTGAGAAATTGAGAAACGGCAGGGCGCTGTTTCTCAGGGTAAAATTTCCAAGATAGATGCATATCATTTTCTGGAGAGGCAGTATAGAATATGTCAATAAACCGGACTGTTGAAGACAATACTGTTTCCAATGTGCTATAGGAGCTTCCTGTTGGGAGCAGGCTCTGATGTCCAAGTACATGGATGCCGGTTCTGTCTCCCACTCCGACTAACTGGTGACCTTGGACCAGTTACTTAACCTCTCTCTGCCCTACTTATATTATTTTAAAGTGAGAATAATAACAGTCCATAACTTACTGAGTGATTGTGAGAATTCAGTGAGATAATGCATGTAAAATACCTATGACAGAGCCCACCGCATACCTAAACAGTAATTCATTATTAAAGGAGTATGATACAAATGATTTAGAAAGTAAAAATACTTTTTCTAAAAGAGATCATTCAGAGGCCTGGGCTGAAAGTGAGCCTCAGTGGAGACCTGCATAGGGTGGGTGCAGGGTGGGTAGGTGTGGCCAATACTCGGCCGTCAGAACTGTGGAGGAGACCACAGACAGGAGTTGGATCTAGGTCTATGAGTGTTTGTTGAGTTTCAGATATCAAGCTGAAGAAGAGGGTAAGGAATAGAATTCAGGCTAAAAGAATAGAAACAATGTCTTCAGTTCTGGAACTGAAAAAACAGGTTTCTAAGTAACCTAGCCAAGTATTACTCCCAAGGCAGGTGCTTCTTGTTTTTCTGTCCTGGTTTAATTCTACTCCTCCCACCCGCTGCCAAAAAAAAAAACACAAGACAACTTTTCCTTTTTATTATATGGGAAATACCTGATCATTATAGATGACAGAAAGTATGGATGAACAAAAATTAAAAAAAAAATCACTCATAGGCCTATCTTCCTGTGATAGCCTCTGTTAACAATATATTCCTCTAGACGTTGTTCTCTATATACATAAATGTATATACATATATTGAAAAATTTGTGTCTTGTGATGTTTATATTGCTTTGCAACCTGATTTATTCTTTTTACATAGTATACCATGATCACTTTTCTACATCAATGATTATCTTCAGTATTCTTAATTGGTTCATAATACCTTGAATGGTTGTACCATCATTTATTTAACGAATTCCATTTTTTGAATGCTTAAAGTTTTTGTTTCAGTTTTCTGTATATTAAACAATTCTTGGATAAATTCTTCAGACTACTAGGTCTCAAAGAAATTCTAAAATTTTAATCATTTTTAATATTATTTGTTAAATAATATTATTTAGTATATATTTAATATATTTTGATTTAATATAATTCCATTATTTTAACCCAAACAAAAATATCCCATAACATAATAAAGCCCTATTTGAAAACCACATTATAATTTAGTCAAATTTGAGTGAAAATACAATCTGAAAAACAACTACAAGATTTACTTTGCTTTCAACAATGGGACATTCCCCTGGAAGGTTAAACAGTCAATTGTTCAGTAGTTTGATGAATTTGCCTTCCTATTTTAGTTATGCGCAATCAAGGCAGCCTCAGGCTGATTCTCAACAGCAAACTCTGGGCTGGAATGGAGATTCAAAGAGCGAACCACCAAAATTTACGAATAACAGCTACTGATTTAGAAGACTATAGCATCAAAGTGTTTTTAATTCAGGTAAGCAATAAATTTCAATGACAGAGGACTGCCAACCCTACTATATTATAGATCTCTGTAATTACTAATTTGTTTTCTTTTCATTTTATTATGATAATAAGAACCATTGGGAAGAAAATCAGCCATTCATTTTTGTTTACAGCCTAATATGACCTAAATTTTACATGAAATTTAGAAATTAACACCACAATCTATAGTAATCAATTGGTACCTGTCCTAAGACACTTATTGATATATACTATCAGACCTCTACATTTTTCTTTACTACTGAAATTATGTCAACAATCTTACTAAGTTACCAAAGGAACTAGCATCAGGATTGGCTCCTAAAAAGCTAGCAGAATCCTGATGCTTATACTGAACGCTGAACTTGAGAAGGCTTTGAGATCACTGGAAAGGAATAAGTAAGAAATGGAAAATCACAGGGCTAGCAAGTTAACCAGGCCAACAGCAAATTCCAATTCTGGCCATGAGTCAGTCTCCAAGGTTACAGGATGGGAGCACAGCTTTGGCTGTTCCCTGCGACAGGAAGGCTTGACCTTAAACACAAGATACCCAGGCACAAGAGAGAGAGAGCTGGCAGGAATCAAGTCAGAAAAAATGCTAGGTCTCCCCTGTGGGCGGAGACCTGAAGGCTGGAGGAAACTTGAGTACCCATGTGACTCAGGCAGAAGGTAACAATACAAGTAAATTGGCTTCCATAGAGAAATGGGGGGAAAAAAAAAGTTGACAAGTGACCGCTGATGAAAAGCCAAAGGTTTTACTAATTATCAGGAAGTGCACTGGTAGGTGTAAGTGATGTAGGGCATTAAGACATTAGAATAAGGTGATGCCCAAAATCTGTTTACCATTTAGGGCGATGATACCCTATCAGGCCAGGTCACCTGGCTTTGAATGGCTCAAGCAGCCCACCTGAGCCTGAGCCTGAGCCTGAGCCTGAGACTGAGATAAGACTGCTCACTATGATTAGACTCTGCTGCTCAATATTGGATCCATGCTGCCTTTTTAAATTGTAGGAATTTTTTGGAGATAAGCAAACAAACTGCAAATAAAAATCATCCCAAATTCCTCTCCCAGAGATGGTCACTATTAACATTTTGGTCTATACTGTATTTTAGTATATATATGCATATGTACCAAAATGTACATCACTGTATGACCTTCAAGCAAGTTAGCCTTCCTTAACCTGATTTACTCATCTGCCAAATGAAGATAGTAATAATGTACTTTATAAAGTGGTTGAGAAGATTAGATAGCTATATCTGATTGTAAAATACATACATGTAAACTTTTTTCACTTATCAATGAAAATCAGTATTTTTTTGTCATTAAATAGTTCATGCTTCAAAAATTCTTTTAACAGGTGAAAAGAATTTTATTGTATTATGCATCATAATTTATCCATTAATTTCACTTTGTTAAATACTTAGGTAATTTACTATGTTTCATTATTATAAACTCTAAAAGGTTTCGAGACACTCTTTATATACATATGTGTTAATTTTCTTGGGAAAAGTTTTTGACTTGTCTCAACAAATTTTTCTCAAGAAAGACTGAACAAATTTTCATTCTCACCAGCATTTTCTTATTGTACTTCCTCAGAATTATAATTTTTTTCAGCACTACAAATTTGCTATTCAAAAAATATATTGTTATTTTATTTTTAACTTCTTGTTCTGAATTTCTTAAATGAAAACATCCAAGTGAATTTGTCAAAAGGAAATAAATACATTAACTAGTGAAAGGTATACTTAAAATTTAATGTAAGAAAGTTAAGCAAGCAGAATAGCATTAATATTTCAATTACACATACTCTTTCAGTATTTGTTATTAATTAGCTTACTAAAGAAAAATTAAACATTTGTGCATGATATAAAAAGTTAAATTAGTTAAGTCAACAAACATTTACTCAACAACTACTCTGTAATATCAAATAAAATAAGAGAAACAAAAATAGTTTATCGCATTTATATTTAAGTTTTTTACCCACAGGTATTTATGGCAGCTTAAGAACATGCAAATGAAAAAACATATACTTTAAACCCTTCTCCCAGAACTTGGCATGTACTGGGTCCGGCAGAAGTAGCGCCTGCTTGAGTGTGGTTGGTAGCGTAATGATGTGGATGTAATAATTTATAGTTTTAATTTGAACATTTCATCTAAAATGTCATATGGTGTGCTTGAGTGTGACATTATTATGTTACAGAATTGCACACTTACGATTTTGTAATAAAAAAGGGGTGTTATTTGTATTAGACCTGTAGTCGGTTTAAATCTCAGCTTTGGGCTTTACAATGTTTGATAACCCTCTGCAGGGTTAACAAAGAGAAAAAATTTTCCAGATTTTCTTTGAAATTGTGAAAAGATACAAAAATATAAAGTACTGCCATGTTACCCTAAAGAATACTGAGGTAGATGACAAAAACCTAGGATTCAAGTGTCAAGACAATTTGCCAACTCACTGTATAAATTCAGACAAGTCATTGTAGCTTTCTGAGCCATAACTGCCTTATCTGTAAAAGGAAGAGGAAACAAGAGTATTTTGAATACCCGTGGTAAAGAAAATGGAAGTCTACCCTGCCCCTCCCCCGTCCCCCCTCCCACGGCCCCCAATCTACACTTTATTACAGGGTAAAAATAGTGGAAGAGGGATGGTCTTTACAGAGTTAAATTCGAATAGAAATTTTAAATCACAAAATTTCATTCTCTCACTTAAAGTGCACTAATTGGGACCTCTTACAAAATTATCCACTTTTAGGATTCAGTTTGGTTCAAATAAATTGACTTTTTACCTCTTTAGTTTTTAGGTTTATTCCACATAATTCCTTCCTGATTAATAGTGAAGGGTTAAAAGTCCTTAAAATATGGCTATTGTTAAGTTATTCCTAGTCTTAACAACTTAATTTTCCTCATGCAGGCCAGTGCCAAAGATACAGGACGTCTGTATGCAGCAATACATCATCGTCTTGTTGCTCTTCGAAGCTTCAATAAACAAGATGCAAACCAAGCTGAAAACCAGTCGGAAACAGCCTTCCAAGAGTTAAACTGCGATAGCTGTGATGAGGATGAGGATGATTTCATTCAAGTTGCTAAAAATAGATCAGGTAAAGACATTTCTTTTGGTATGTCAGCAGTTTAAGAAAGAAGTGTGAAGCACAATCCTAATATATGAAATAGATTTTTTTAAGAGTGGAACTGGTCTGTTCAAAGTGAGTCCAAGTTAGAGACCATGCTGTTTGGATCTGTGGACTGAGTTTGAAAATCGGTCTTCTGAATGGGCCTTCGTTAGGATTTTACCAAAAGTCAGCCTCATCATGAAGCCTGCATATCATTTACATATAATTGTATAAAAGACCATTTTATCAATTTAAAGTATTAATTGCTACCCTGAAACTAACCATTTATTCATATTTCTTTTCATTTGTTCTCATTCTCTTATTATTGGCCATAAGTTATAACTACTTGTAATGGAGCCACCAGGAAAATCTGGTTTGAAACATCAAAAACCCTCTTTATTCCCTTTTTGGAATCTGACTACTTTATTTTTCAAAGACTTTCTTTGCCTGATGCAAAACGAATTGTTCCTTTTATTGTGTCAGGATTCATGAATTGAGCGAGGTTGAAGTGGAATCAGTTGTAAACAGACTTTTTGATTTCAGTGTTTGTCCTGAGGAGTGGATTTAAAATTAAAGTTCATCATTATTGTTTGAAGAAAAACATTGTCGAGGAAACAATGAGCTTCGTTATATATATGTGGGTATGCTATAAAGTCAGCCAAATATTTTCAGTACTAGTTTTATCTAGCCTTTACTTCTGCCCTGCACAGGACTGAGTGATGAACTTACAAAGACTGTGTGTTAGTAAGCAATTTTCCAACTTTTAATCACTTTAAATTTTGAAGCTACATTAATCATACATAATTTAAGAATCCATTAAAAAACAAACAAACACGTGCAGAACTCGATGAAATATATTCCTTTGTCTAATACTAAAAATGTAATCAAGAGAAAGATGTGCCAGACATGCAGATGAGGGTCATCAAGTGCTTGACCCAGTGAATCAAAGAATGAAGTGAATGATTTTTCTTGTTATTTTAAAAAAATGGCTTATTATTCTTTGAAATGTATGAAATGTGTACAACTATCTTTTATATTATTATAAACTTTATATTGTCAACAATAAAATGGGGTCTATTAGAAAACAAGTTGGTATCCACTAAAAATGTTTACTTGAAAGAAAGGTTAAATGGCAAAAGTCTCATTGACAAATGACCTATTAATGCAATCTATATTTTTGAATATACAACGATCTTCAGATACGATGAGAAACAATGGAAATAATGCAAAGTACATCAGTTATATGAACCCCCTCTTCCTTTTCCTCTTTCACTTAGCACCTTCTGCAACAGGTGTTGCATACAAATGCTAAAATGTTATGAAAGCAATAAAAAGTCTAATATTTAAAACTTTGTTGCCCATGATTTAAGGAAGGGTTTATTTGAAAATGTCATGTTTAAAATTACCAACATTTCCAAATGTTACTCCTAAAAATATGAATTCTACATATTTCATTTCCTCACTATTAAGCATATTTGTAAGTATCCCTGTTCAGGTGAATTCAATATTAAATTAATGTGAATATAATATTGTATAATAAAATATTTCAAATTTATATCACAGATCCTTCTAGGTGGACCCACCGACAGTCAGTTGCCTGTTCGTGAGTGCTACCTACTACAGACATGACAACATCTACACAAAGATTGGTCACACACTGAAAATACTAGGCCATCCTAACTAAATGAGAAGATCCTATTCATTCCTTGAAGAGTTTTAATAGAAAAGTTCATGAAATATAATTTGTTGCAATTAAAGTTTTTCTCTTATGCAGCCTAATAATTCTGAATTTTTACATTTTGATCATTGTAGAGAAATGACAGAATTTAAGAAATACATGGACTTTGGAAGTTCAAAATTTGTCATTTTTGAAGAAGTTAATTTAGAATAGGATTTGATAAATAATTTGGACTATTCATCACATTGATGGATGCAATAGTGAAAACTATAAGTTGCTGGGCTTGATAAATATCTGACTAAAATATTTATTTTTTCAGTCATACATTGTGTGGCCATAAAACAATTTTTTTTAATAAAATTCAGTAATTTCTTTGAAAACCATTATAATTGCATAATAACATTTCATTAAATCATATCTGTCTTCTGGGAAGTGTGTATTTTCATTTAGCCTTTGGATTTCCTAATATTATGAGATCATATATTCCTGTAGTCCTTTAAAGATAGCATTTGTTCTTAGACTAGTATCCATTGCATCTGCGCCTGCTTGACTCATGGTCACCCTCCAACAGTTGTTGAAGGAATGAACAAAATACACTACCTATGAATCAAAACAGGAGTGTACAGAAACTGAAATATTTTAACTTGTTCTTTGCTTTATTTATATAATTAAATTGTCATTAACATTCTATTCGGTGTGGCTGTAGAGACCTTTTATAAACAAATGTATCAATGAACTTTTTCTTTAAAAATTCAACAGCAGTTTTAATAATCACGCGACAGAGTTTTGATGCCCCTCTTCTGATTTTGGTTTCAGGAACAATGTGTTACGCAAGAAAATTGGCACAGTACTGAGAGCTATATTTCATTTTTCAATCCAGTTTGATCAACCCTTGGCTTCAAAATGACTTCTTAAAAAAATATTTATTTATTTAGTTAGTTAGTTTTAGAGAGGGAAATGGAGGGAAAAAGAGGGAGAAGAATAAGAAGAATATAGATTGGTTGTTTCTTGTAGGCACCCCTACCGGGGTCAAGCCTGCTACCCAGGCCTGTGCCCCGACGGGAAATCAGAATAGCCACCTTTCACTTTGGGGAATGAGGCCCTGCCAACTGAGCTACAGAGATCAGAGTGACTTCAAAATGACTTATGATTGTGACCCCTAAAAAATTTCCCTGTTAGAGGCATCTTAGTCTGCTAGGGCTGCCAAACAATACCACAGTCTGGGTGACTTAAACAACAGGACTTTATTTCTCTCAGTTCTGGAGGCTGGCAACAGCCAGGGAGGCTCTTTTTCTTGAGGCCTCTTCTCTTGGTGTCGGGGGGCGGTCACCATCCCACTGTGTGCTCAAATGATCTCTTGTCGTGGGAGCAGGGCATTGAGAGAGAGAGAGAGAGAGCGCGCGCGCACGCGCGTGCACGCGAGAGCCAGCGTGTGTGGGCTTGCACACTCTCTCTGCTGTCTCTTCCAATAATCCTGTCAGACCAGGACCCCACCCTCATGATCTCATCTAACCCTAATTGCCTCCCAAAGCCCCAGCTCCAAATATCATCATCACATTGTGGGATAGAGCTTCAACATATAAATTTTGCAAGAACATAAACATTCAGTCTCTGACGAGGGGATAAGAGTCACAGTTCCTAAATGACTTCTAAAAATGTTTTGCTATTTGAAAACTATGGCATTGGAGGAGTTATTGAAATAACTGGTAAATATTTAGCCTAATAAAGACTTGATGTAAATTACTTTTCAAAAATTAGAGGTTAGCAAAGCTTCTAAATTTTTGCCAATCTAGTGGACATAAAGGCTATTTCATTATTACTTTAATTTGTTTTTCCTGATTTCTAATAAGGTTCAATATGTTTCAGATATTTATTCCTTGCTTGTGTTTCTTCCAAGAAATTCCTGTTCATAATCTTTGCAAAGCTAAGCATGTCATTTCCTTCTTTTAGGGGCTTCCTAGCCTGTACAGGATGAAGGCCACATTCCTAAGCACGAATGTAATCCTTTCCCTGTCTCCCATCTCCAGCCTCACCTCCCACTGTTGCTCTTCCTCCCTCTCAATTCTGTAGGGACTCAGAACTGCTACATCATTGCTCTATACTTTGGTGGGATTCCTTTCTCACTCTTGCTTATTCTGGCTAATATCTACTCATTCTTTAAGGCCTGGCTCATGACATTTCCCAAAAGATCTCCCTAAGTGTGAGTTAAGACTTGTTCCTCCAGGCTCCTGCAGCGCTCTGGGTATAAACTTTATGCTCCTTAAGGAAGGAGACTATCTTTTATTGACCATTTTATCTCTAGCACCTAACATGATCCCTGGCCCGTGGCAGGTGATCAAATACAATTTGATCTCCATCAACATGTGTTGTATGTATAAAGCTCAACAGAAAGATAGAAATAAGGATTTGAAGCTCAGAAGGCAGTCTAGGCTAAAGATACTGGTGGTAGCTAAAGTCATGGAAGGGAAAAGAGGCTAATATTTTCCAAGTGTATACTTTGTAATGGGCACATGTTTAGGCTTTTCTACATATGTTTACAACTTTATAAGGTAGCGATTACATTTTATAAATAAAGAAGTACCATCAGAAAGGTTAAGCAACTAGTCCTAGGTTGACAAAGGTATTACATGAAGAAGCTGAGGTGTGAATCAAGGTCTTTTAAAATCTAAAGTCCAAGCTCTTTCCATTATACAATACTGGATGAACTCATGCAGAAGAGTGGAGAGAGAGAAGAGGGAAGGGGAGGGAAGAGAAGGGAAGGATAGGTCTGAAGAGGAGCTTAGGAAGAACCCAAAGCAGGGGCAAAGAGATGGGAGGAACGCCATTAGAGACTGGTTTGGTGAAAGACAAAGTCAAAAATTTCAAGAGAAAATGATAACTATTTTAAATGTTGCATTAAAGATCAAGTCATTTAAGGAATGAAAAACATTTTATTATGTCATAGAGATGAGCGTGTTTAAATGTGAAGAGGAAAATCCAGTAGAGAGAATTAAAGATATATTAAAGGGGACAACTTACTGGAGTCGTATGTTTGAGGATGTGGAAGGGATGGGATCCAAAAATAACAATGGACAAAGGGATGTCCCAAATGAGAAGATGTCAGTGTAGGTAAGTTTGTAGCTGGAAATGGGGGAGATCCAATATTTGAGTTCTTATCTGTGAAATGGGAAGAAAAGAAGTCTGGTATTTCACATATACAAGGTTGAACCCATGGACTTTGGCCCCAAATCGGTTTTCTAGATTCATTTTTCTGTCAAATGGATCATCGACAATACACTATACATCTAAACTTCAAACCTGTGTCATCTGTGACTTCTTTGTTTTCTTCCTTCCTAATATGTACTGAATTACAAAGTGTTAGAACAGTAAAAAATAGAAAGAACCTTGTGAATGTTCAAGTTGTAACATTCCACAGAAATTAAGATGCATGCCTAAGTTTCTAATATACGGCACTATCAGGAGCTACCCTAAGGCAAAGTTCCTGGTCAGAAGGACTCAGTGATCTACTAAAAGTAGACATCTGTCAGACCCCGTGGTGTATTTGCCAATTTAGTATACTACCTGGCACACAGCAGGGACTCAGTAAATATTCAGTGAACCCATGAATGAATGTTGGTGGTAGTGGCTAGGTGAAAACTAAGAGACACAGGTTCAGAATCAATTTGGGGTTGAGAGCACCTTGGCATCACTTCTGTAGTTCCAGCTCCCTCATTTATAGATAAGAAATCTGAGGCCAGAGAGATGAAGTAACCTGCCCAAAGTCCAAAAGCTAGTTACTGATAACTCTGGGACTGCAGAGAAGCAACCAGTGTGCCAGAGAAAGTGGATCCAAGGAGCACGACGGATAAACACTAGGGTGAGCAGTGCCATTTGAATCTACTCTTACAAGAGAAGCATTTTCTTCCATTTCCATTACGACTTCCCAAGCTCAGGTCCATGTGCAACTATTCCAACAGCACCCAAGCCTCCCTCCTCTTGCCTCCAGTGTGCTCAGCATTCCGAAGTCAGATCGATAGTCGTCAAACATTGCTTCCAGGACTCACTTCTTTCCAGTTAAAAGCCCTCAGAGAGTAACTACCACTTGTACATAGCATAAAGTCCAAATCACTGCCATTCTTAATCCGTAGGTCTTGTCCTACTTTTTCAACCTTCTCTCTCCATCTGTTGATATAAATTAAATGCTCCACTTGACCAGGCTCTATCCATTAACTTCCAACTTCCTCCAAGGCTCCCCGTCTTTCTTCCTCTAGGCTAAACTTTTTTGGTGGTCAGCAGGGGCTATGACCTGTGCCTTCCCACAGGGCCCCATGCTTGGACGGGCTCAACGCTCGGCTTACTACTCTCTTGCAATTTTTAATCATTTCTGAACAAGGGGTTTTCGTATTTTCCTTTCCCCCTACACATTACGCAGCTGGTCCTGGGAAGGTCTCCCCAGCCCCTAGGCCAGCGTTGTAAGTATCGTTGGTCCAACATGCGTTAGTTGAAATGAACGAACAAACGGTTTAGTCTCAGGAGCAATAATGAGATGGTCTAGAGAGGCTTATGTGGTCTAGTTTTATGTGCAAGTATGAAAAAGGAGGAAACCATCGCAGAGAGCAGCATGGCCCAAACCTTCCCACCCGGCTCTCGAAACCCCAGCCGCAACCGCCTCCCGGGCTCAGACCGGTTCCAGCTGGATTCCTTAGGGCGGCTCGATCGCCGAATAGAATCCTAGCCCTTCCCCTGGCCGCAGCCAATCGCCGCAGCTGTTCGGGCTCCGAAACTGCAGCGGGTTCCGATTGGCTGACAGAGTTGGCAGGGGGCTGATTGGCTAACAGAGTTGGCACCCCCGCAGGAAAGGGGGTGGAGCGGGAAGTTGGCTCCCGAGGGCGAAGCGGCTTCTGCGCAGGCGTGGATGGAAACGCATACACAAACAAACAAAACCCACCACCCTGAGGCCTCCGGCTCTTCCCCGCCCACCTTTACCTCGCGTGGGCTCTCCCCGCTTCCAATCGGCCGGCTTTCCCCGCCCCCGTCAACGTCTGGGCGCGTGCCTCTCGCGGCGCTGGCCACGCAGGGCCCTGCACTTAACCTCTGGGCGCCCGGCGCGAAGTTAGAGGCTGGGTTGGCGCGAGAGGCGCGCACACCTGGGGCGGGAGCCCGGGCCTGTAACCTCCGCCGGGCCCACGATGACTTGCTACCGAGGCTTCCTTCTAGGGAGTTGTCGTCGCGTAGCGGGCGGCCGGGCGGCGGCGCTGAGGGGCCCGGGCGCGGGAGTCCCCGCTGCGCGACCGCGGTTCGGCGGTGACGGGGACGGCCGGCGGCACCTGGGGCAGGGGCAGCCACGCGAGCTGGCGGGCTGTGGCAGTCGCCCCGACGGCGGCTTCCGCCCGTCCCGGGTGGTGGTGGTGGCGAAAACCACCCGGTACGAGTTCGAGCAGCAGCGATACCGTTACGCGGAGCTCTCGGAGGAGGACCTGAAGCAGCTGGTGGGTCCCGGCGGCCCTCGCCCTTGTGTTTGGGCCAAAACCTCCCTGAGGCTCCCTAGATGCTTTACCGGCCCTGCTCGCGGCCCCCACTCTGGGCTTGCTCGTGGATCCCCCCCACTCTTCGCGCGCGCGCGCGCGTGTGTGTGTGTGTGTGTGTGTGTGTGACTGTTCGTGCAGCCACCCCCAAGGCGAGGGCGTCTCGAGGAAGCCATGGATGGGGCCCGAGGGGCTGCCACAGTCGGAGGGGTTTAGGGGTCATTGTGCCCTCGCCTTGCACCCCTTATTGGGAATAGCAACAGCAGCCCCAAGAAAGGTTGGCCCGTGGCTGACGTCTGGACGCCCTGGAAGGAGCTCCCCAGGCCGCCGCGAGAAAACGGGACCCCGGGCGCTGCTGCCTGGGCTGAGGTACCGCGGACACACCCCCTTCTCCTGGGCTGGACTGTCCCGGGACTCTCCGTAAAGCCGGTCCGGGTGAGCCTGTTCCGCGCTGGAACGCAGTGTCCGGCGAGGGGCGAGCAGTTGGTTTCAGCAGCGCACGTGTCTTGGGTGCTTGGAAGAGCACGGGAGGAAATTTGACTTTGAATGTATGTTATTAAGTAGAAAGGTCAAGACAAAGGGCAGGCAAACCTTGTAATTAAGAAATAAAGAGCCGACGTCTATAATGTGGTAGTACCTCCGCAAAAGACTATATTTGGTATAGACACATTAATATTTTTACAAGGTGTATCAATCCATCCTAGGAAGAAACCCTGACTATTATCCCCCTCCCCTCTTTTTTGAAACTCTTGTTTCCATGTCCCCGTCGACCAGCTTCAGGAAAAGGTGAGGATGCTTCCATGAACGATATGTCTATAAAAATCTTCATTGGAAATCTAGTTGTTGACATTGCGACAAAAGGCTTTGGAATTAATTGCCTATAACTCTAATCTTGCAGAATTATGTACAAGACTGGACAGCCAGTTCTAAACCATTGGTCTGTCATCTTCAGCATACTTTTTGTAATAGTTTGTAGAGGAATCCGAATAAAATTGTAAATCATTTTTGCTTAAGTATTCTTCAGCATTAAACTTTTCGCTTCTTCAATCAGTTAACTGAAGAGGGGCCATGCCTTCATTTGATGAAGTGCTAGGTGCTTTTTTGTTTTCTCCTTAAGTGTTTGAATGTAGCAATTGATAGAAAATAGACTTCTCCTTTAAAAGTCAATCAACAAGCAGGTTGAAAAGGAAGTGGGAGTAGTAAGTTGTGCTATGGTGTAAAATTGGAGGTGAGGCAGAGAATAACGATCAGAAGCAGGTGTTTCTGTTTTGGGAAAAAGGTATGCCCCTTGGACTGTACTCCTAATTGTACAAGATCTACTTTTTAGAAATTGTCACATGCTATATATGCATATGTATGTTGTTCGTACAACTTTATGGAAGCCACCCGCAACAATTTAAAGTAGCACACTTGATTGGAGGGTTAAGAGTGTGGAATTGAAGGTTAGGAGATTGGAGTCTCAGGCCCCGATTCTATGTAGTTAACTTCCTATGAGTGTTTTTAATTTATCAGGGACTCATGGGTGAAGACAGTATTTTTTTGTGTAGTTTTGTCAGTTTTCAAAGTGCTTTCACCTAGTTCAGGAAGTGAAATACCAGGGTTGGACTAGACAGCCTCCAAGGCCCTCGCAAGGCTTGCATTTTGGAGCTGGTTAACTTTTTCAAGGCCTCAGGAAAAGTAGGTGGCATCTGAATTAGATTAATTCTTGGACCTGTGAAATCGATTGCCACTAATCAAAACTTTTTAAATGTAGACAAATCAGTAAGTCTTTAAAAATCTAACTGCTTAGTGTGCCCACTCCGTATCTGAAGAGAAATCTCTAATAGGTAAATATTTGTCTATCACTAGGTAATGCTGTTCGGGATAAGAACACTTTGAAGTAAAACTTCTGGACTATAGAACACACAGTTTTGAAATAGTTGTTATTTCAATTAAGTTTTATTGGGTTAGTTTTATCATTTGTATTAAGGTCATTATTGAGAATGGAATGGCATTAGGTGGGTTCCCAGACCGGAGACCAGGAGCAGGCCAAAGAATACTAGGCTGTTTGAAGTTTTTAAAATGGAATTCTGTATTAGGAGTGAAAAGATAATTAATACTGTTTGCTATTTTGTTGGGGGTAAAAGATACTACACCAGACCAGTCATGTGAATTGGGTATAAAAGAAAGTGGCCAAGAGCTGATTTGATTCTTCTGGCAGTGTGGTTTCTTCGTCGGCAGTGTCACAGTAACCTGACGTTTGTAACAGAGGGCTCTCTTTTTTGGTAGTGGTTGTAGTTGTTTTGTTGGAAATAGATCTCAATTAGGTTACTTAGGTTGCTTGTTAAAAGGCAAAGGGAAGATGAGGGGTGGGATGCCAGTATAATTTTCTATCCTGAGGCCTCCCAGTTTTCTCACATTGTAGAAACACAAAGGAAATACTTTTTAGTTGATAAAGCTCCCACAAAAGGTTTATATCCTTTGAATTTTGTCAAAGTTGGAATTTCTGTTTCTCTTTCATATTCATTACATTGCTTAATTTTTAAGTCTTGTTTTTGCCTTCCCCTAACTGATCAATGACTTTTCTTGTGAACTGAGGATTTCTAGTCAAGAATTTTGTCTACTGGCTCATGACCTTGCAAGGATCGATCAAACCATTATTACATCAGCAGAGATGTAGCCGTTGGCAAATGCGGAAATGTTACTAACAGTCCAAGAGACTCACAAATTAGACCTTTAGGTGAATCAAAGCTGATTGGAAAGGCTTTTGACATTGTAAACATGCCTTTTTGGCCAAAAGGAAGGTTTAATTAAACATTATTTTGATGTATACCAAGTAAGAAATGAGCAGTTTCCACCCTCTACTGCCCCCAACTGCAAGTCCTTTTAATGTTTCTCATAGTATTTTTAAAAAAATTATATTAAAAAAGAGATAGAATAATTTCATTTAGCAGTGCCTCTGTTACAGGATTAAACTCTTCCTAGTTGTTGCCTTGTTAACAGATTTGGGAGGTGTAGCGCCTTGGGGTTTGTTTCCCTTACTCTGTTTTCTGAGAATTGTGGTGTAGCTTAAGTTGTGTGGTTCTTGGACAGGTAATACTTTTGCCACATGGTGTGCAATGAATATAGTGTAGGCAATATGAGTATTTATCAAGTTAAAGAACATGATCTGGAATACTTGCAAAGACTTCTAACGGAAACCTCACTTCTCTCAAATCTTCCACACACAGGCACTGGGGTGGTCTATCTGAAGTGAACATCTGGCCACTTTACTCTTCTGCTTGGAACTCCTCAAAAGCTCCACATAATCTGTAGAGTCTCTTAGGGAATGTGTTAAAATGAAGATGCCTAAACCTTAGTGCCCTCCTCACCTCCCCCCTCCCTGCCCCCCAAGGCTCTGATTCACTTTGTGGAGAACTCGCAGGCTCTGCCTTTCTGAGCCACACCCTTAAAGGTAGCTCACTCAGCCTTTTAAAAATACCCTCCAGGTTTGCAAGTGGTTTCCAGGTCGCACTTTGAGAAACACCTTTGTATGTGAAACTTCATTATCTTTAGTTGTCCAACAAGTCCCTTCATGAAGTGGCTCCTGTCTGCCTGTTGAACTGTTTCTCATCAATTCTCGTCTTCTGTTTCTTTCCAGAAATAACCTATACATACAAATCAACACAGTGAAATATTCTTTTTCTTTGTCTCATTCTGTTTTGCTCATTGATAACATTTATTTAAGCTATTCTTTACCTGTTCTTTTTTTTTAGTAGTACGCATAGTATTTCGTTGTGTGCAGATGCCTTAATTTATTAAAATATATTCTGTAATGAATAACATTTGTGTTGATTCCTACATGTGTGAATCAAGCTCTCAGGTAAAGACCTAAAAGTGGAATTGCTGAGCTGAAAGGCATGTGCATTTGAAATTTTTTTTTTTTATACTGCACTCTCTTTATTCTTTTCGTTGCATTTATTTTTGCATTTGGGAGAGTGGTGAGTGAAACTGGATGTATTTAATTACACACACACACACACACACACACACTCCTAACAAATGTAGACAACAAAGATGTATACATTAGAAAACAATGGCTGCACCTTTGCACTATCCTATTCTCTGGATGTTAATATATATACCTTGAAGTGTTTTTAAGTTACTCAAGAGACTGTAAGAAAACCACAATTTTCGCATTTGAAAATTTTTTAAAGTTACTAATTTTTATCCTCCCCAGAGGACATGCTTCTTGACTTGAAAGAGAGGGGAAGGGTGGGAGAGAGAGATGGAAGGGACCATTGATCAGTTGCCTCTCAAACCTGCCGCCTAGGCCTGTGCCCTGACTGGGAATTGAACCTGTGACCTTTGGTGTGTGGAACGATGCTCCAACCAACGGGACCACACTGGCCAAGGCTGAGATTTTAATAAGAATTGCTAATTGCTTCCCTTAGAGGCTAAAGTATATTGAGGCTAAACAGGTAGGCTGGACCTTACAGAGGTGTTACGTGTCTGTGAAGGAGTTGGTTTTATCTTGTAGTGGTTTTATCTTGTAGAGGCTGTACCAGTGTACACCTTCACCAGCAATGAAGGTGCTTGTTTTATCATAGTTTATCATATTTTGGGGTCTTTGCCAACCTGCTAGGTGAAAATGGTATTTCAGGGTGGTTTCATTTACATTGCTCAGTTCTTTATTTTTGCAGTCCCTTTACTTTCAGTAGCCATCCTTGGTAACCTTGCTGTGCCTCTCTCTGCCCACTAAGGTTGTGTTAGGTGTTCTTCACTGAATCTTCATAATACTTACGTTTTAGAGCTTTCCAATTTAGAGTATAATCTGCGATTCTTCTCTAGACTTGAGAACAAGGACTGCATCTTAGTAAATTAGATTATAACTGTAAGTGGGTATGGAATACAGAGAAGAGGGAGAATAATTTGGGGAAGGACAGAATGAAGGAGGAGGAAAGAAGACCTTTCAATATTTTAACTTTAAAAAGATTACTAAAAAG